ACAGAACAGTAGATAATAGGCACGAAGCTGAATTGCAAAATTATGCTGACAACATGGTTGTGTACAATACGTCTAATGATCTAGGCAGTTCTGCACCAGTCATACCGACCAGCTCACAATATGGTCTGGCTATTGTTGATAATTCAGATGGTGGCCATTCTTTAGGTTCCATAAAAAATGAAGATATGCATGGTGTCGATGCTAATTCACAAAAGAATGATTGTGATTTAAATGGTCTTCAAAATAAAAATAGAAATGAGAGGTTCAAAGTAGTGAAAATTGAAAGTACAGAACCATTTAAACGCGGTCGTTGGGTGTGTATGGACTTTTTAGATCATTCAATGAATCAACAACAATCAGGTAACAATAAAATGATCATGGTAAATGGTGATAACAAGGCTTATTCTCAGGCAAATGACTTGGATACAACTGAGCCATTGGACAATGGCCACCATGAAAATCCTGAGTTCAGAGTCTGTACTAATAATGTCAGTACTTATACCAGTAACTGTAATAACTCTGATAATTATAAAAATCCAACTTCTACTTATAATATTGTATCGTCTGGTGTAACTACTCCTATCCATAGTGCTTGTGTGTCTCCTGGTCAAAGCTTACAGACTAATATGCAAGTTCCAGTTTTATCGGGTCAGCCAATTTCAACTTCTGTACAAGCACCACAGCCCCAAAGTCTTACCCAAGTTCAATTACCAACCCAGCATAATAATATTAATCAGAATTGTATATCACATTCCAGCTTACAGTCTCAGCAGATACAACAAGTGATTGCAAATGCCGGTGTTATGCAATCTCAGTTACAACAAACTCAACCAGTTATCAATGTTATGCAAAATCAAAACCCATCAATACAGCCACAGTCTATTCAACATATTAATTCTGTTGATCAGAGTGTTACTCAAACAATGCCACAACAATATCAACCTATGTCACAGGCAAATTTACAACAACAAATTATGCAGCATAACATGCCAGCACAATTTCAAAAATCATTTGTACAACAGAATCAATCTGTTTTACCTAACTGTGCGCCTATACAGCAATCAGTAAACCAAATGATTAATCAACAAGTTCCTCAATATTACAACTCCCCGCCAGTCCAGTCTCAAAATGTTACTTCTGAATCTTCAACTACGGTGTCTATGTCCAATCAACATATTGGTCAACAGCAATTTCAGTCGATACCTATTCAAAATCAACCATTGCAAAATCATGTACAACTTCAACAGAACCAACAACAATTACCAGCCCCTGTGCAACAAATGCAACAGCCTAGCCCTCAGCAAAATATGGTACAACAAAATCAAATGCAATCTCAAATGGTCCAACAAAATCAACAATTGTCTCATCAGCCAACCATTTCTCAGCCTAGTCAACCTCAACAAACCCAGTCTGTTCCTCAACAAAGTCAACAAATGTCTCAGCAACATATCCAGCAGCCTCAACAAACACCACAACCCCAACAGACACATGTCCAGCAAGTATCATCTTCACAGCAACAGCAACAACAACAACAACAAGCGCCTCAACAAATGCAACAAGTTGGACAACAGTTACAAGGACCACAAGGTTCACAAATCCAGCAACAATTGCCACAGCAAACTCATCATATCAATCAACTTACTCAAATTACCAATCAACCGCAGCAAATGCCTCAGTCAAATCAAATGCAACAAATAGCTCAGCAAAATCAACAAATTTCACATCAACCTCAACAAATTACACTGCAGAGCCAACAGATACCCCTCCAGACACAATTACAACATTCTAAGCAAATGCAAACAACTCAAATTCAGCCTCAGTCTCAACAGATTCCTCAACAACAGCAGATTCCTCAACAGCAACAGATAAGTCAGAATCAAATGATTCATCAAAATAGTCAACAAATAAATCATGCGGGGCAAATGATTCCTCAGCAAACTCTTAATCAAGGACAACAGTTAAATCAACAAAATCAACAAGTTCAACAGCAACAGCAACAACAACAACCACCTCAACAACAAATACAGCAACAATTAGCCCAAACTAGCCAACCTAGTCAACCAATGTCTCAACAAATTCTTCAACCAAATCAAAGTATGCCCCAACAAAATCAAGTACTAACTCAGCAGTTGGGAATAAGTCAATCAAATTCCCAAATGTCTGTTCCTCAATCTCAAAACCAACAAGTAATCCAACCACAACAACCACAACACATGCAACAAGCTGGGCAGCAATATCAACAACCTCAACAAATGATGCAATCTCAGCCACAGCAATTGCCAATGCAAAATAATCAACCCATCATGCATCAGCCAAGTTATTCACAGGCTCAAAGTTTGAATGCTATGCAACTTCAGCAAGCCGTAATGCAAATTCCAACTAACACTGTTACGTCTACTCAAATGCATATACAGCAGCAACAGCCAGTGGGTCAATCTAATATGATGCAGCAACCTCAAATTACCGTTATGCCGCAAAATAACATACCACCTATGTCCCAACAACAAATGACATATTCACTACAACAACATGTGCCTATTAACCCAAACTATGCTAACAGTATGCAAAATTGTTACATTCCTTCCCAACAACAAATGGCGCCTTACAAACCTATGAAAACTGTAGAAACTATAAAAAAAAAAGAAGACAATAACACTGAAGATGTTGATAATGGAACCACTAATAGTGCAACTACTACTGTAGCTATAGATAACAAAATTGAACAAGCTATGGATTTGGTCAAAAGCCATCTTATGTATGCTGTGCGTGAAGAAGTAGAAGTATTAAAAGAGAAGATCGCAGAGCTAATGGATAAAGTTGGACTTCTAGAAACAGAAAACTCTAATCTTAGGATGCTTGTACCTCCAGACATATTAGAACAATATAACCGTGAAAAACAAAAATCTACAAACGGTCAGTCTACTCATAATCAATAGACTTAAGTTTAAACTATTTGGTAAATGATGAAATACTAATATGTTAGGCTAAATAATGTAAAAAACAGTGATGTGTACAGATTGTTATCTTTATTAGTTTGATTTGTACAGTGTAATATTAGTAAAGACTTTGAGTTTAATCATTTTATTTTAATAGCTAACTATGTAGCTAGGTATGTACTTTTATATTTTTTTGAATATGATAATATTTCAAATCAAATAGGCCCAAAGTTAAAAATATTCAAATGTTGAGTATTTTAGAATATGATAGGGAGCAAGGACACTGTTATATTATATTTTGTTCATTTATACTTTTCATAAAATATTGATAATTGTTTTTCAATGTGCTTATTTTTTAAGACTGTGTTTAATTAAAACAAATTCAAAATTGAAGTCTAAATACTGATTCATTTTTTTTTAATTATGGTATACGACTATACGAGGTACATTATGTCCTTGCTTTGTGATGTGCAATTGTTTGCGAATTTAAATGTAAACTTTACTTTAAGATTGGAACTGACTGAATAAAAAAAAAAATTTTTGGTTAAATTTTAAATGATAATTTTTTAGGTGTGCTAAAAAAATAATGATAATTATTAATATACACTCCAACTGATTATTTTGTATAATAACCAGTATAATATGAAAGCTCGTATAAAAGACATTTTTTGATTATATATTAGAATAAAATATAATTTATCTGATAAAATTATTAGTCTAAGCAAATACCTAAGCAACACTTAGGTAAATATGAAAATTTAAATTAAATTCTGTATGATAAACATATCATTGTTAAATTTGTTAGTGTTAGCCTGGTTGTAAAAATATATATATATATTATTTAAGGTTCAATTTCTTCCAAATTGTATTCTTTATAAAATATATATTTATTCTCTTACATGTCTATAAAAAGAGTAAACACAATAAATATTTAGTATAATACACTTTTTTGGAAAAGACTATAACCAATAACCAGTTTTGTTATCATTATCCTTGTCACTAGATATTTTTACTAAATTCAAATTGTCAGTATACTCATTTCTATGACACAAACACGCTGGCATCTAATCACAATTTTAGTCAATAACAACATTGTTGCAGTCAACGTATTCACTTAATTTTTAGTCTTATAAGTTACAATTTATATTTTCTTCTTATCTCTATATTGCTCATATTTGTGGTTTTCTGAGTCACTAACAGTGTTGTATTATAAATAAAATACTCAAATTTTTAACTATGAAGTTTTTGATACAGGTAGTACATTAAATATATTCTATGGTTATTTATAGAATTTTATATTAAATACTCAAATATTCTTCTAATTCTTCTTACACCACTTACACTATTCAAAATATATTTTAATTATTTTAGTAAATATTTACTTAATCATATTTTAAAATATAACTCATTTAACCAGAATCATAATTTAAAACTTTAAATATTGTTTATGATTAAAGTAGGTTTATTTTTTAAATTCATTACCTATTGGTAATATAATTTGTGATGTATTTTAAACAATCATATTTTAAGAATATTAAATATTTGAGTATTTACCCAAAATATATTCTATTATTTACAGTACCTACTTGTTTATTTTATTTATTTCACCCATTACCTACTACATATTATTTAATACCAGCAATGTATAACACCTAATTAAAATATGTAATTATTAAATTTAACATGTAATTAATATCATTATGGTAATTTATTTTATATTAGCTGTCTAGGCTTCAATATAGTTTTAAATAATATTTTTATTAGCTTGCTGTATAATGTGCAAAGATTTCTATGTATATTTTATTTGTTTCAATTATTATGAATTGTGATAGTTTCAATATACCTATACAAAATTGATAAGGCTTGTGAATGTATACCTAATATTTATGTATTGAAGATATTTGTTTTTGCCTTTTCAGTTCAAGAATATATGTTCTTCTTTTTATACTCCTACTAGACAATATATATTATAATAAATAAATAACTAATTTATGATAAAAAAAAACTGAGCATTATTATTATTATTAACTATATAACTTACATATAGATTCTAAAGATGATTACCTCTGACTGAAATGAATTCCAACGTTGTGTGACATCTGATTGAGTGCCGTAACTTAAAAAACTCAACTTCATTTCTTTTTTTACCATAATATGTTGATCAATTATTCTGTTAATTATTGTTATTCCAAGTCCGAGCTGAAATATTGCACTAATTATCATAACACCACTAATCTATATTTAAATAAAAATATATACAAGTATAAATTAATGCAGGTTAATCGTTATTGATAAGAATATAGAAAAGTTAACAGGTACCTACTGAATAATAATCATTCATGTGAATTAAAAAACAAAAACAATAAAAGCTGAAAAAAATAAGTATATGTATTATGTATGTAACCATCTACAAAACATGGTATACCTTTGTGGGTATGATTTTAGAGGGAGTTAACTCTTCTTCTATGAGTCTAGAGCCTCCCTCCCCCCATTATCTTACCCCAACTTATTTTTATATTATGTATATCAAATACAAATAAAATTCAATCATTTCAAAACTTTGCTCTTGGATTAGTAATTGATGCTTCTAGAGGCTTCCTAGTTCCCTACATATCAAACTTAACATTATACACAGATCTAACAATAAAACATAAAATCTTTATTTAATAAAGAAGCCAAATGGTTTTATGAAAGATGACCTACATAATAGTCCATTATCTCATCCAAATCCATTAATTCAAAACTTATCCACTTTATCAATTCCTGGTAATCCTCGTAGACGCCTGAAGTGTAAATAATGTTGTGATCAGTACCATAATGATTAATAAACATATATTGCCACTTAGGTAATAAACAATGCAATCAATGAGAGTAGCTTCTTTTATTACTTTTCAGAGTTTTTTCCTATTAAGGTTTTTATTCCCATATCAGATACCTATATGCTTGTTGTACCTCAATTTGCTGTAAATTATTACCTACCTACCTATAAAACATTCATACTTCAATTTATAATCTACCTATATACTGTACAATTTCCATTGCAATTGGACTATATTATGTCAGCAATGTTTATATAAAATAAATAAATTAATAGTACGCTTGTTTACAATTACCTACCTATTTACTTATTAACAGTTATATAATATGTATATACAAAAATGTATACCATAGTAAATTTAATAATTTAATTCATTCATTCAGTAGGTGCCTTATTCATTGATATAATATGAATATATAATGAAATAATTTATTAATTATAATAATAATTTGTGCATATGCCTACACAATAGCAAAGTTGTCTGCGTATAGTTAAAGCAGTATATAATCCACAAATACACGACAACATCATTAAAAAGCCACTATATAAACAAAAAAATATTGTTTTATTTGTTTCTAAGTTGAGAAACGTTCTTGTGATATCCAAATTTGATATATATTTGTCAGATGTTTTCATTAAAATAATTGAACATATCTAAACAAAAATAATAAACTATATTTACACTTAGGTATGTATTATCGTGATTAGTGATTAACTTAGAATATCTATAAAAACTATCCTTAGTCTTAGAGCTATGATATTTTTATATATGATTTAAAAATTGAGTAGGTAACTAATAATAATAATTAGAATTATAGCATTATAGAATTTGTTATTTATTATTTATCTACCCAGCCATCTGTTTAGAAAGTTATACCATCAAAATTGCCTTAAGTTTTACAGTGCCAAAATGCTTATGTATATTTCTTAGAACAGGGAATATAAAAATATAAATTGGTTTAAGTAGTTTACAAAAACCGATAAAAACATCCATAAATATTGATTTCCCGTGAAAAATTGTCAATGAAAATGTTTAACCCTGAGTTGAGCAATGATAGTATTATTCTGCTAATGATGTGCTTTTTTAAGAGAAATACAAAAATGAGGTTTATTAGTAAGGTATGCCAATAATTGTGTTGAGACTAATAATGCTTTTTACAATTAATTCCAATACGGTTTAGTAAAAGTTGCAAGCATGCAACTAAAAAAGATGTTTTTAAAATGATTTTTTCAACAGTTGGGCAACCAGAATACCTATTCCGTATTATTAGTGCCAACGAAATTGGTTGGCTTAATTGTTAATGGGTACTTAGTGAATTAACGACAAACCATATACCTATAGATTGAAACACAATGGAGGAGAATCAGTTACAAAAGAATTCTAGCGATGTTTATTAATTGTTACTTGTGTGTTGAAAAATCTGTTTTTTTTAAAGGTGGTTATTGCTTTATTCTAGTGATCATAAGGGTCAAGGGAGCACAATTTATCTGTGAAAAAACAGATCAATTACCGACGATTTAGACTGGAGATTATAAAGTAAACAATCATAAGATGACGCTCCACGGGTATTTGTTGTCACCGTCTCAAAAGTGCTGAAGTATAACAGCAAATGTACGTTCAGCAACTTCGTTAGTTCAAACCAGGGGTCGCTAATCAATCAATCTTTTTAGGAATATAGGTCGATCGTTATAAAAATTAATTTTACCATTATCGGTCGATCGCGTAATAAATAATCGGATAATGTGGAATTTTTTGGTTCAACTTGGTTATGCGAGTCAACATTTACGAGTATGAAGGACTTAAAGAACAAATATCGGTCAAGAATTACAAACAGTAATTTGGATTCCAGCTTACGAGCAGCTGTCTCTAATTATATACCAGAATTCTCAAAACTTGCAGAAAACCAATGCCAGTTATTATATTAATAAATTAAAATGTTTTACTTTTTCTCAAGTATTATTAAAATATTACATTATTATAATTAATATTATGAAGTAATTATAAATAATTATTCTTTGGAGCTTGGACCTTATTTTTTTTTGCTCATCATACAATATTCTTGGATGTCGATCACCAGGGACTTAAAATTTCAAATGTAGCTCACTTGTTTGAAAAGGTTGGCGACCCCCTGTTTAAAAATTATAATAAATCGACCTATAATGAAACTTGATGGTAAGAACATTATCCGTGGTTGAACGTGGGTTATTTTACTGTAGTTAAATTTTCTAGCAAGTTTTGTGTATGCAATTGTAAGAGAACTCTTAAGGAGGCCGGAAAACAAAAAAATATATAAATAAGTGTACAAATTCTTATTTTATTTGACAAGATGCTTTTAAAACAAAAACATAACTCGATCGTCATAGTACGACGAGACGAGACTGTCAGACTGTAGGTACTACTAGCAGTACTAGGTAAATCGAATAATAATAATTCCATAATAGGTACCTAATTAGTAATTACTTATTGGTCGACTATCGTTTGATCTATAGTGGCGCCGAAGTTTTGAAAATGTTGTGGGGCAATTTTGAAACTTCGTGGCCTCAATATATTAATTATTTAATATATAAGTACCTGCCCTAATATATATATTTACTCATAATTACAGTAACGTGGATTTAATATACTCATGCTCATAATAAAGTTATGATGTAAATAAAATGTGGCCGTCTGGCCACATTTTTAAAAAAAGAGGTCAGGCCATAGCCCGACGTTAGCATGGATTTCGGAGCTACTGGACTCGGGTCACTCCAAGCGCACATACGTACATTTATAAATGTATATAATTAATAAGTGCGGGATATGTTCGAGGGTTATATTGGTGCGATAAGTACGCGGTGATACAGAACAGTCCTGCAGCTGTACATGGAAAAATTCCAACAATAAATATAAGTCCTACACAATAGAGAGTGAATTAAAAATGCCCATAACTCACTAAAAAAGTGAACTATCGTAAAAATCCTACACTCAAACACAGATAATAATATAATGTTCTTATACCACCAAGTTTCATATTATAATATATTATACCTACCTATATAATAGATCGATTCACTATAATTTTTAGATTAATGAAGCTGAGTAATTTTACTCAATGAAAAGTTGGTTGGTACATCTCATCCACATATATACAAAATATAATATCTATTATATTCATGAGGCTTACCATTAAAAAAATATTGGAATAAAACATTATTGATGGTTCAGTGTACATGAACACTAAAAAATCTTTCCATTTTTCGTTTGTACGCTGACTGTCTAAATATCTGCTATCAATTGACGTTACTGAACTATAACCTTCGTACAACAACGAGGACATCCTTGTGTTAAGCGTATTTTTATTATCCGCTGTAGACCGCTGTAGCGATCGTTGACTTTCATTCTCCTCATCGTTGTTTTCATCTGCAGGTAAAGGTCCTCCGCCGTAATAAGACGAGGTTCTCTTTCTTTCAACTCTTCTATTAAGTTCTACTTCTTCTAATGGATGTAAACTTGTACGCCTTTGATTGACAACGTCAGATGGTTGCGAACTTGCGCTTGGCTGGTCATTTAGAATCTGTGAAACTAATAAATAAATATATTTTAGTTTATGAATATTTCGGTCATCGATGATTCTTATATAATTTATATAATTACCTATTAATAGGTACCTACTTAGTACTTATACTCTCAAGTGATTATTTGTTTTGATTTGTACGAAATGTAAGTATTAATTTGATTAGATCATTATAAAGAAGTAAGTACACTTGTACACTTGATAGTTACACGCTTTTATAATTGTAATTACCTTACCTTGATCAGACTCGGGTGTTTCGTCATTTGCATTACCATCATCATTTTGGTCCAAAGCTTTTGAATCATCATCACTCATGATAATACTAGCTATATTAATAGACACATAAAACAATTATAGTTTAAACTCAATTTTTTATTAGGAACTCACTATAATATATATATTACATAGATACCTACCTAAATACCTAATACTTATTTGTTACTTAGAAACATCAAAAGATACATGTTATAATATTATGGTTACTCGTGTATAAGTATAATAATATAGCCATTAGGTAATGCAACACATAATACTTACATCACTAAAGTTTAAATTTATACAACTATTAATATTTTTTAAATTAGGTATACATATAATGTATTATTATTACAAATATAATTATGATAAAATCTAAATTAACTTTTCAATTTATTAATAAACATATAGTACTTATCAATTATTTCTAATTGTCTAGGTATATTCTTTTGAATTTACACATAACACACCAGTATATTACACAGTACACACACGCATAATACATACCTAATACATCTGTGGCACTGGCGCACTGCAGTAGCTATAGTAGGGGGAATTAGGGCGAAAGCCTCCCCCCCTGAAATATCAAACTTATTATAGGTATCCGGTAGTACCCTAGAACTACTAATAAAAATATTGCAGCTCTACCCCAAAAAAAAGTCCTGGTTATAGAACTGATATATATATAGTCTTATATATTAGTACTCACATATTGTTATATCATACCTAATACATACAAGATGGAAAAGAAAGAATAACTAATTATTTCTACGTTTCTATTATCTATACCTATATACTGTTATAATCTGTAAGATGTAACCAATAGCAACCATTTATAAACAATAAAAAAATTTCGGCTTCAATCATAAATCTCAAAATCGTTGAAATGAGTTATTATGAGCATTTTTAATTTACGGTATATCATATACTACACAAAACTTGCAAAAAAATTAAAAGATCGTAAAATATCCACATACAAATATTTAAAGTTCTTACCATCACGTTTCATAGTAGGTCGACTCTGTTTAATTTTTAAACTATCCAAGCTAAACGTGAATATGTGATCTTATCTGCTGAGCGCAAATTTGGTATGAAACCCACTTGTAAGACGGAGACAACAAATGCCTGTGCATTGCGTGGGTGTAACGTTCTCTTATAACCATTACCTATATAGTATTGTCAGTGGTCACTGTAATACGGTATTATGGTTGCTCGTAGAGCCTTATAGGTTAGTTCTGAGTTTCTGACTTCTATCGGAAGGGCTTATATTATTTTATAACAATACATACGAAGGCTTAGCCCCCAAACCCCAAAAGTCTGTTAAGCTAGCTCCAAAGGTCCAACGGTTATTGTGAAGGGGCAAAGCCCTCGACTATTTAGATTCATTTGAAAAATAGTAGCTCCCCCTAATATTTTCAATGGGTTTCTGCCTATGAGCCATGCCCCCTCTGGCACCCCCCTGCGGGCGCCCATAGTTATGACTTTATATGGGTAAACCGGTTATATTATCAGTCTTCTAAATTTTGTGTGGCAAAAATGAAGGGATAGCGTAAGAACCAACACATAAACTTGAAGGTGGCGTAACAACATGCGTGGATTTGAGTGTTCTATCTTTCTGTGACTTTTTTTTCAAAACTGAAAAATCAAAATATTAATAACTTATTTAACTATACATATTTTATAATTTATAGGTACTAGTCTTACCTACTAAAGTGTATTTTATAGTAATAGTATACATACTCGGATCCCCGTAAATGATTCAACCCCTCATCAAAAACATGACTAAATTACTCCACCCCATTGTTATCACATGACATTTAAAAGACCCTGTAATCTGTATAGCAAATAGTAAATGCCTACTAACGTCTAACATGTATCATGAATCATGATACATATTCATACCTATACTAACATTTTCTTCAAAACAGATTTGGGTAAAATACTTTAAGTAGGTAGGTAGTAGGTACTATTACGCTAAGACAGAGGCGCCGAGCCACAATCGGGTGGTAACCACCTACCTTGTTCAAATGGGTAGGTGGATTTGTGGTAACTGGTAAGTGTAAGGTGACTTGTGAGAAGTGGTGTATGGGTGTAGGCGATTATTGAATACATAAGTACACTGCACGTGGACGTGGGTGTACTATATTTATATTGCACATAGCTGACATTTGTGTAAGATTTTACCTATAGATACTAATTCTATACTGTATAGTCTATACGATTTACAAGTTATTGTATAGTAATCTAACTGCAGCCTGCAACATTATAAATGGTAAGCCTAACAAAGTCAAATATAAATAATAATTTATAACTGAATTCTAGATGTTTGAAAACCTACTTAGTAATATTTCAAAATATTGAATTTATATAATGGTGCATAATTTATATGTGTTACATATTTACAGATAGACATTGGGAGTTAGTGTTGACGAAATCTTATAAATACAAAAAAAAACATTTTCTCTAATGGTTTTAGATTCTTACCTCTAGTACTTACCTAATTAAAAAAAAATTATCGTTAGTGTGGGTATATAAGTACTTTTTGGATTCTATCGCTTCCTAATAAAATTTTGTTCGGCGACACTGTATAGATATGCGTGTTAACAGTTTGAGCGCAGCCACGTATTACTGGCACATATTACCCTAAAATTTCCATAGGTAATATTTAAGCTCACTTTTTTTAACCCATTTGGCTATTTGAGTAAGGGTACCCTTTTGTCTTTTGTTTACCATAGTCCATTGGTCATATGCGTTTTGTTTGTATTGTCTATATTATATTTGAACTAGAATTTTTACTGATTCGTGTAAGACCTATTGTTTTGTAAGAGAATAAATAATAACTATAGGTAAGTCAATTATTTTCTTCAGTAATTTTTGTGTGTATATTATAAGCTATTTTTTTTTAATTTTTCAATAAAACCATTGTTAATAAAAGATATTATTCCTTTAATTTATTTAAAAGTTTTAATCAATTTAACACTTTTTACTGTTACCTACTAACCAATATCATTTTTCATTTTCACTGTAAACTTGATAAGTAACTTCTAATGAACAAAGAAGCAATAACAACAATTTAAATTTTTTAACCTACCTAGCTGGTAATGCCATAGCTACTGAATGTCTAAGCGAATTATGCCTAAGCGTCATGCATGTCCCCAAAGTGTACATATTGTGGTATTGTACAATATATAAATATGTTATATGATAAACAAAATAAACGAACACACTGGAAATTAAAGGCTCTATAATTATAAAATAATTTTGAACATTTTATAATGGCGCTCATTTGGACTTTGGAACTTATCTATCTGAATAAACAGATACGGTGTTACCTGACGTAGAGCGCTCAGTTTATGGTCATTGGAATTTGGAATAATGAATCGTGCTCACGTGATCTATGATTTTATCTATATAAGCACCATCAAACGTCTGACTCGTAGGCGGAGACAAAAGTGTAATGTTGCTGAGCGTATTCAGAATCTAAATCGGCCCACCACAATTAGGGAGGGGGCCTGGGGGGCTTATCCCTTTAAATGTTTTTAAAGGTCACTTTATATTTAATAATAACACAAATCACAATAGTCAATATTTAAAACAACTTATACATTTTTGGTCAACTTAAGTTAAAGCGGACTTTCGGGGCGATAAGGGCGTGCAGCTGCATACTCTACACGCCCCATGACTCCGCCAATGTTCAGACTCATGTAGGGAGGTAGTTTAGGCACTACGGAAAGATGAAATATAAGATGAATATCTATTCATTCTTCTTTATTATATATAAGTCATTAAGTATGTACATTGTTTATAATATTATGCATCTATTTTATATTTATATCTACTATTTATGTATATATGTATAGGTACAGTCGTGCAGGCATTTGCGACACGAAAATTAAAGTATCTGCCACGGGACCTTTATATTGTTAAAAATATTATCTGAGCATTATTTTTTTTTTTTTTTTTAAAGTTTATTAAGGCTTCAACAACAGGTAGGTTTTTAGCCTACATTTGTTTAAAGAATAACAAGGGAGAGCGATTTTACCGGTGCGCCGTAACTCCGCACGGATCGTCGCCATTTTATAATATATCACCTTAACTCCGCATACAAGGTTTTTTTTCGACACCTTAACTCCGCATACGAAGTTTTTTTTAAACACCCTAACTCAGCATAAAAGATTTTTTTTGACACTGTAACTCCGCACATATTTTTTTTAATGTTTAAAATATACAAAATACAATACATATTATTAAAGTTAAATAAAAATAATATTAGACTGCAGGTAATACTAGGTAATTATAAAATATAAAATTAATAATAATTAATGCATACAAAAAAAATCGTCATTGTCGGTATAAAATGTATCTAACAAAAATTATAATAATTAATGCATACAACGAAAAATCGTTAAAATTATAATGTAAGTTAAAATAAGTTAAAATAAAATATTATTAAACGAAGCCAAACTTTTTACAAAACTATATCTATCTATTTGGTTGTTATTATATAATTCGATTTTTTTATTTATAAATTGTATATTATTTTTTTGTTTACTTCTAATTATCCTACTTTCGTTATTATTGGCAGAATTCATTCTTATATAAGAATCCGTCTGCATAGCTAATAAATGTTTAATGAATACAGCAATATTTGGATGTGCTGATGTAAATAAATCACCAAATTTGGCGTGAAAAGACTCACAGTTGTTTGTAGTTCTCTCCAACGTCGCTTCTTTTTTGGCCCAAATACTGGGTGGAAATGTTGCATCGTTTGTTATGTATGTTTTTTCTAAGTATGTAATAATTTTTTTAATTCGTGCATCTTTGGGTTGGTCATTTTTAAAGTCATTTTCAAAACATGGTTCAACTTCATTAGGATCCAGATACATAAGACCAAATAATTGTCTAAGCCACTTTCCTATGTCGGATTCTTTGTTTTTATATTCTTGGACAAGACCAACTGCTTGTATTCGTCTCCACCTATTAACAAATTAAAAATAATTAATAAGTATAAGTTATACCTACAAATATATTATCTATACGTACCACCATGATTGACTAAGATGAAAACGACATCCAATTATATTTATATTAGGAAATATATCTTT